GGCCCCGCGTTCAACTACAGACTAGTTCGCCTATGGGGTCGGCGTCGGGCGTCGGTGTGTTCATGTTGGCCGCGGCCTAGACGCGCGGTTGTCGATGGTGGCAGCGCATTGCGAACGATCGGGCGCCGATTGGGTCGTAGGAGTGCATACATGCTTGTGTTGAAGAAAACGACCAAGGTCCGAAAGCACTGACAGTTGAAAATGAGATGTCTATACGACGGCCGATAGAGCCGTTCGGGCGTGAGTGCGAAACCGGTTGAAACTGAGGTGAACGGTTCCGAAACCGAAGTGCCCCGTCGAGGGCGTCGAGTATTGCTGAGCTGAACTGAGCTGAACGTAGACTCGTAATTTTGAAGCAGATGTGGTGCACGCATATAACATGGAAGATGAAACAATTTGCCAGTGCCAGACCGGCGCCGGCAGAAACGGTCTCGGTTGACGGGCTCAAATTGAACCACTGCCATGTGAGTACCCCGAAGTCAGAGTTCATCCCCAAAACAGAGCGGAAACCGTCGAGGTTCTTTGAATTTGTAGAATATCAGACGCAGAGTCGGGCGTGCAATCGGACTAACCCAGTGCCCACTGGATCCAGAATCCTGAGTCCAGTCCAGTCAGTCTCTCTTGACAGAATGTACCTCGCGTGATGGATAGAGTCCAGTTCAGCCCAGTCGGCCGCGCCCCAAGGCCACAGACGGATCGAGACCCCGTTGGAAATATCGTTGTGGTTGAAATTCAGCACTGCGGACGGAGGCCAAAAAATCACGCGCCACCGGGTCCAGGGGTCGAGACACCCACCGCCACTGACCGCAAGGTCCAACTCCGGTCGCCAAAACGCGGACACTGCACCGCTTCGAGGAACGTTGTTCAAGTCCGGCCATTTCCGGGGGCGTCGAGAACTCGCGATCGAGTTTCAGGCATTGGTGGGTGTCACGGAAACCCAGCGGAATTATGCATGTATGCTTGAATGCCAGTTAATCCGATGTCGTGGTCGACGTCGCCAGCTGCCAGAGAGATAACGCGCGCGCGGCGCACCTCGAACGTTCGAATTATCGTGCAAGTTGAATACAATCGGCTATGGCCAACATGTGGGTTGAAACTTGAACGCCGCGTTGTAGGTCCATGAAGACGTCGTCGGTGTCGTCGGCGTCGGGGCGGAAGCAAATCTGAGAAACGTTGTTGCTTGGAAGAAGGTCCGGTCTCCTGCAGATAAGGACGCTATTGTAAAGTTGAATTGGACCGCGGGTGGGGTTGTCGCCTGCCAGAGAGATAACGCATGCACGCACGCGAACCCCAGGTTGGAACCCCGGCGGGTCGAACGATGAACGCCGACCGCGTGGAGTCTGGAGTCCGTCGTTGTAGGTCCACGTCGGGCTCGCCGCGGAAGCAAATCTTCATACTTATCTTCTTCTTCGGAAAAAAGATGTCGCAAATCGCAATTAATCTTTTGGACGGGTGGAATGCGAGGAATAAACAAGGTCCGGTCGGATCGTCGTTCGCAGATAGGTATTCGGGCACCAAACGGTGGCCCGTGGGTGTGGGGGAATTTACTCGTGAGATCGGAGCGAATTTCGCGATCGAGGCTTTGAGCGGAGCCCATGGTTGAGATTGTATAATCTTTTGGCCGGGTGGGACGCGAGGATGAAGGTCCGGTCGCCTCGAGAATAGCCCTGAGGACGGCGTGGCTCGTGAAATCGGAGCGGAAGCAAAATTTCGCGTGCATGGAACTTCTCGATGCATTGGTTGGGTTGAATTCGCCATCCACGGTAACTTGAAGTTCTGCCGCCGAACTGGAGTTCACGACGCGTCGTTGCCCATGCCCAAACGTCCGCCAAGAACACTCAAATGACTGCCAGCGACAGGCTGCATGCAATTGTTGGAAAGATGGTCCGCTCGCCTGCAGATAAGGATTTGGAGTCCGGAACGCCAACTTGCGTTGAATTGTGGGGCTGGCCGCATTCGAATTTGACTTGACATTCGTCCCTCGTGAACTCGGAGCGGAACCAGATTTTCGCGGAGCGGCTTGATACATTGGTTGGTTGAATGCTGTCGTCCGTGTGTTTTTGGGGCTTGCTGAATTCGGATTCGGATTTGGAGGGTTCCTGGCCATGGAATCGGAGCGGAACCAGAATCAATCTCGCGACAAGTTGTGAATCGAGACCGCGTTGCGCATGCGTTGACTTGATACATTGAATTTGCCGTTGAGCTCGAGTTTTGTTTTGAGTTCCGGTTGAATACTTAGTTACATCTTGTCCGTAGACAAGGCCTTGTGCCCGCAATTGTTCTTGTTCTTGCTCTTCGTCTGCGTAACGTTCTTGTACATACTCTTCCGCCTCCGAATGGTGCCGCACTCTGCAGGGCTGCACAACCCCGATCGATTCGGTTTCGGTCACCACAGTGTCGAGAATCGAGGCAAGGCTTCCCTGGCCCAGTTTGGGACGAAAGGAAAGACCTGTTTAGGACTCACCGCCGGAGTTGAATGACTCCTCCCAAGTAATTTGCGTGTACGCGTGTGCGCGACGTGTACATACCCTGGCCCTGCCTGATCAAGGGAAATGAAATGAAAGTTCTGACTCGATCCGTCCGGCGCGAACAAGGGCCAGCCAGCACGCGTGTAATTCCGTTTGGAGGACAATAGACAAGAACTTTCCGTAGTTGTATTGTGCGCCCGGCCGTCCAGACTGAAACGGCGACGCGTTCACCGTTTCGCGCCACATGTTCGTTCGTTGCAACTCGCAATGATAAAATAAAATACACAAAATTATAATGCTACACTTTCTATCTACGTACGACTACTCGCCTCGTCCTATCCTACTTGACTTTACTATCTGTACTTTACTCTAATTTGCTAGCGCTACTACTGCTAATTACTCTACGGTTCGTTCGTTCGTTCGTTGTTCTTTGCGCAGAAGGTGGAGTGAGTTGGGGGGCTCAACTCAATTCGGCCTCGTCGTGACGCCCTCGTGGACGTACTGCCGGAAGCTCGTCCCCTGGTACTGCGACGGCGCGGTGAAGTGGCTCACGCGCTCCTTCTTCTTCACCCACTTGAGGCGCGGGGGCATCCACTCGAGGTTGCCCTGCTGCCCCGGCTGCTGCTGCTGCCCTTGGCCCTGCTGTTGTTGCTGTTGCTGTGGCGGTGGGGGGTGGTGGGGCGCAGGGGCCATCGCCGGGCTGCGCGTGGCCATCGCGCTCGCGGGGCGCTCGGGGGGCGTGAACGTGCTGAGGCTGCGGTGGTGCCCGTGGCCGCCGTGTCGCGGCGCAGGGTGGTGTTGCGGTGGGGGCGCTGTAGAACGAAGAACGTAAGTCAATATAAGGTCGGTAACCACGCGTATATTGGGGTGCTATGCGTACCTGCGTGCTGGTCGAGGCTGCGTCGCGAGCTGCTGCCGCTGCTGTGGCCACTCGGGGGCGGTGGCGGGCCGTAGCGGGGGGACATGGGCGCGGGCATGGGCATGGGCGGGGCGTTGTGGTAGTCTTGCCGCGGGTGGTACTCGTGCGGCGCGGTGGACTGGGGGCGCGGCGGGGCGTAGCGTGCGCGGTCGCTGCTGCCGCCCATGTAGGGGCTTTTGGGGGTGGGTTCGCCCGCTGGGTGGCAAGACACGGTCAGAGTGAGTGAGAGTATGAAGGAGTGGCGGCGTACGACGGAGGGCGGGGAGGATTATGCGGTCGTTGGGGCCGCGGGGGAAGAGCTTGGAGGAGAGGTGGCAGCTGGAGCACATGCAGCCTGGGCCGTGGGGGGGTTGACGCGTCGACATTGTGGAGGATGGAATAATGGAGGAGGTTGGGCGTATTTATAGGGGTGGAGGAACAAAGCGCATTTCTGTGGTGAAAATTTGCGGGCATCTCAGGCTCAGGGCTGGATGGGCGCGAGAGGATGGAATACGTTATAACTGCTGCCGCGAAACAGTCATCCTCCAACCGAGCCCATCTTTTTTTATTCCCAATTTCCCAAAGACGTACACCGCGGAATGTTCCGCCCCATCGCACACCCGCCCGATTGCCGAACCTTGACTCGCTCAGAACTGCGATTTTCCGGGTTTGGCCATGGATACACCTGAGGAACCGATCAGGGGAATACCAGCGGTTTCACCGCTTGGGGAAGCGGAACCGACGCCGGCGCACGGGCCCCCGACTAGCCCTGCGCCGGTCGTGGTCCCGCTGCTGCCCACCCGATGGCCGCCGCTGAAGGCTGCCTGCCTGCCTGCCTGCCCCACCTGCCTGCTTGCGCGGCAGAAGGGGCATGCACGGAGGTCCCACGATGTCGCCCTGTAAGGCTCTATCGTAAGATGAGACCGCGGCATAGAACGATTATTTCGATGCCTGCCTGCGCGATAGATAGATAGAAATATCGACCGCATGTAGGCCCGCCTTTTCTTGGGAGCAAGCCGTCAGAATTGAGCGCCGCGGAGGACCGAATTAAGTAATACCCTGGCGGGGTAATTGCGTCGTGTACAGTCGTGGGTGGTCGGGGCCGTGTCGGCGACGGGTATCGGTAAGCGAGCTGAGGGAGGTGGTGACTTGAGGAAGCAGGCGGCGGCTGCGAGGAGCTATGGTTGGTATCTGAATTGAATGGATGGAATGCGGCATGGCAGATTGCTCGTTCTCATGTTGTCGAGGTATGTAATCCTGGTGCAGGGCTGCACACGGGGCGGACGTTATTGCCTATTTCGCGCGTCGGCGTTGAAACGTTAACCAAGGCAGGAGGTAACGACGGCGGAGCAAGTGTGGGAGTTTCAAAATTGATCCAATCACGCCGCCGCTCGGCATGTTGACGGTAAGTTGAATCTCCGCCAAGTGGTGGCGGCCTATTTTGCGTACCGTCGACTGCTTGGGACAACATTCACTAGGACCAGACATACTGGCCGCTGGAAAAGGTGAACGACCATCGAGCGATTGAGATGCCAAATTCATCGTTGCACTGAACATTGTTCAACTCGAGACCATACCACCTTGAAGCAAATATTGATATTGCAGCAAACGAAGAATACTACAGGAAATGAATGGACCTGATGGTGTACCGGTAACACATCTGCTTCACTTCAGAGGATGCGTGAAGTGTTTCAGCAGAAGAACCTCGTTCGTTTCGGGGTCAGGTCTTACGTCGGAAACATGTTTTTGTTTCCATTCCTTTCCAGCCCTGTTTTTTGGGTTCATTCCTTCCCCGTCGAGTGCAACAAGTGGGTTCCTTCTTCCGGCCCAAGGGCTCGTCCCCGTGTTTGAAACTTGAAGAATTTCGATATCGATATGGTCAGATTTTCACACCAGTCCCGTTTTCCGTGTCCCAGGCATACAAAGCACTTTGAGTAAACAGACCTGATGGTGTACCGGTAACGTGTCTGCTTTACCTATGAAGTAATAGTGGCGCTTAAGCAGAAGAACCCTGTTCGATTCGGGGTCAGGTCTTACGTCGGAAACATGTTTTGTTTCTTTTTTTCCAGCGTTACTTTGATTTATCTATGCCTTTCCCGTCTATGTAGGTACTCTGTTAAGTGCAACAAGTGGGTTCCTTTCCTCCTGCCCAAGCGCTCATGCCAGTGGTTGAATTTCAATATTGGTGTATGTAGTCAAACTTTCACATCAGTCCGATTTTCCGTGTCCCAGGCATGCAAAGCACTTTGAGTAAACCGACCTGATGGCGCACCGGTAACGCGTCTGCTTTACCTACGAAGTAATATTGGCGTTTAAGCAGAAGAACCCTGTTCGATTCGGGGTCAGGTCTTACGTCGGAAACATGTTTTTGTTTCCTTTCCTTAACAGAGTTATTTGCTCTCCGAACCGGCATCGTTTCTCTCAGCGGTACTATGCTCAGTAATGTGTGTCCTTTCCCTCCTGCCCAAGAGTTCCAGTACCAGGGGGCTAAAAATGTTGTGGTTGAATTTTCACACTATACCCATTACAGATCGTAGGCATACAAAGCAGCTGCGTTTTATCTCCAGTCAACTGTTCAAAACTTTTTGTATGCAGGGAGTTTACTCCTGTGCTTCCCTGAGTCCATCCACACTGTGGTTGAATTTCCGACTGAAGGGTTGAAAACAAGCCGAGAAGCCGAACGCTGTACATCTATTTGCGCCTTGCTTGCACCTGCTTGAAAGCCAAGCCACCGTCCAACATCGTCCGACGCCAACGCAGCTCGCCGCTCTCCACCACCACCGTAATAGCACAACCCTCGTTCCACCGCCCGCCCCAATGTCGTCCGACCTCTGCCCCGTCTATGCCCCCTTCTTCAGCGTCCTGGTCAGTCCCCCCTAAATAATCACCACCTTTTTCCACCACTAAACCCGCCTTTTTTGGCTGGATAGGGCTGTACCAGCGCCATCGTCTTTACTTGTGAGTTTAGCACTGCTCCCTGCGCGCGGGAGGCCCCCCTCGTCGCCTGTATGCTTGAGTCGTGACGGCTGGCTGACCACGACGTTCTTGCGTTGGCAGGCATAGGAGCAAGGTCAGTCCCGTTTTGTCGGAATGGAGGGATGCTGCAGCGTGCTGACGAGCCCCCGCCGCAGTTACGGAACCGCCAAGTCCGGCGTCGGCATTGCCGCCATGTCCGTCCTGCGGCCAGACCAGATGATGAAGTGTGTCGTCCCCGTCATCATGGCTGGTATCATCGCCGTACGTCCCCCTCCCTCTCCTTCCCTCCCTCGCATATTCAATACCACGACCGACGACGACTAACTGTGCGGTAGATCTACGGCCTCGTCGTCTCGGTGCTCATCGTCAGCGACCGTGCGTCCTTCCCAATATCTCCGTATTGAGCGACTGCTAACTCGGAGCTCGCGCAGTGAACGTAACCATGTCCCTCGCGCAAGGCTTCATCCAGATGGGCGCCGGCCTCTCCGTCGGGCTCGCCGGTCTCGCAGCGGGCTTCGCCATCGGCATCGTCGGCGACGCGGGCGTGCGGGGTACCGCGCAGCAGCCCAGGTTGTTTGTTGGCATGGTGGGTGACTCGCTGACTGGCTCTGCGTCCTTCCTGTTCAATGAACGTTACTGACATGCGCGACAGATCCTCATCCTCATTTTCGCTGAAGTCTTGGGTCTGTATGGTACGTCACTTTCTTAACGCTCTTCCTTTCCTACTAGTTTGTCTCTGCGCTCTTTTTACCGGGGGCGACGCGCGTCCGCTGTGCACTGCGCCTGGATTTTGTGCTGCGCCGAATATGCGTGCTGCGTATTACGTCCGCTGTGGCTGCGCCTCCCTTACTCGCGCTAGCCTGCTCCCCTGCCGCGTCATTCACAAACCAAATAAAATACTCACAACTCTCCGCAGGCCTCATCGTCGCACTCATCATGAACACCAAGTCGCAGGAGATGATCTCTGCTGTGCGTGACGTTCCTTTTCTTCGCCCCATTTCGGGATATTCATTTTTGCGTCATGACTTTACCTACCCCTTTTTCTTCTCTTCTTTCTCTTTGGTCTCCCTTTCGTCGACGCTACATACACCTGTCTGTTCTGTCGATCTCCTACTCCATTCCCTTGGGTAGTGCTGCCTTGCTATCATCACCATGACATACATGGACGTGTCGCCCATCTTACCTATCTCATACCTTCTTCTATCTCTCGTCGCGTGCTACTGCTATCCTTCCTGCACGCGAGGCTCGCTCGCTTTCGTCCCCTTGGCGCTACATTGCTCGTTCATTCCTCATCCTATTCCCACCATCCTTGTACCGCTCCTCGTAATCTCCGCACCCCACCCCATTTTCCCTCCTTCTCTTCATTCACTCGTCTCATCATCCTTCCACTTTTAACCCGCGTTATCACCCTCCGCCCTCTTTCTTGACATACATACTAACCCCTCCCTCCCCCTTACACAGTGCCTCTAGAATACCCACGCACGTACGCACGCACCGGCCCCGCCCACACGCAAACGACCGACCGAATGGGTGCTGCTGCTTATTTTCGATGGGCCCTTGTTCTCGCTTGCTTGTTTGGAGGCGAGAAGACAGAGAAGAAAGTTATTGTCTGGCTGGTGTTTAATACAGTAATCGAATCGATTGGCTTGCGATACGGAACGGCGAGGACCTGCGGCTAGTGGGGTATATAGGGTTGTCGGGGGAGGCAGAGCTCGAAGCCCTTGAAGCCCTTGCTGACTGGGAGATGGACCGACCCTGTCCTTCCTCGTCTCAATGGTGGACCCTGCGCCGTCTATGGCGATCCCCGCAGATCACCCTCGCAATGTGGAAGGTGACGGCTGCTGCTCTTTGCTCTTTTTTCTGCGCTTCCGCCCGCCTCACTCCGGTGTGCAGACGGACGGACCGAGAAAACATATGTATGGGCGTGTATGGGCTCACGCGCAGGCGCTTGCATTCTAATACTGTCACTGTGCGCAGATCGCCGTCGCGCGCGAGCGCTTGCTCCTTGGGCTACGAGAAGCGGAAGCGGCGAGCGCTTGTGCGCATCGCGTGAGTTGCCCGACCGATACGGATACTTCCCCGATCGACTCTTTGCGGACGCCGGATTTACACAGATTTACACGTTGCATACCACACAGATTTGCAAATTTTGCACCGGATGGAATTAGACGCGTGGGTTGCGTAGGTTGCGTTACGGGCGATGGATGTTGTCATTGTGTCGGGTCGGGACAGGCACTGGGTTTGAGGGCGGCGCCTAGGTGTGATGGCGTCGGAGGAATGCGATCTCCTTCGCTAAGTACTTGGCCTGAGTCGAGATTGATTGAACCGTCCACTCAGGATTCAGGAATGACTCTCAGTCGTTCCCACATATATAACTTGTTATTTGACTCGAAGGTTACGGTTACCCAGGACCCTACTCAACTCACCTGCGCGACGGGCGCCCGGCGAAGCGAGATTGAACAATGCAAAATTTGAGGGTGACGATCCTCCCGCCCGGCATGCACTTCGGAAATAAATGAGTAAATGAGGACCTAGAACAGACTCGATCGGTTTTGTGAAATTCTGTTCCGGGCCCCGAGCTAGCGCCCGTAAGGAAGGAGGAAGAGGATCTGCGCGGCGCGGCTGTTGCGCGCATCATCGTCGGGGATCGACAAGCTATATACAACCCTTTTCGTGAAGGGCGTTTTCACTTATTGCCGTCGGGGAATCGTTGTCGCGCCTTTTTTCGTCGTGCGTGCCGTTTATGGTAATGGAGTTACCATAAACGGAGCGTGACCGTGTGTGACTCGTCTTTCTCTCACCGAATCCTCACCACCATGGACCCGGAGGCCAGCGCTCAACTCTTAACTCACTGTCCAAGCTAGTACTATGACTTGGGGCTCGAACGCGGACTCCATAAACTAGGCTCCTCTCCTGGTTTTCGCCTTCGGCCGCGAGACCAAATTAACAGTCCAGGCTGCATGACACCTCTGCGCGGACTGGGACAAGCTCGCGATCATAACTTGCTCCCGCGAATGCACTGTTGACAAAGTTCAGGCGGTCTGCGCTATTACGAGTCCCAGTTCCTCGATGGGACCCTACTGTACGGAGCCCCATTGCACCGGGATGACAGAGCGCTGGTTGGGAGATCAGCCCCTTCACCGTTCATACACCTCGAGTGCAGGGACGGCGTGGATGTGGTATCCGTGAACTGGCGCTCATTTCTAACTCGATAACATCTGTGCGTGCGTACATTCAATCTTTGAATTTTGTTCCAGTTCTCTGAGAGCGACGCGCATCTAGACATTGCTTCACGCGCCCTGCCGGTTCTGGTCGGACGCGCCGACCATCCTCGACGTGCCGATAAGAAGGCGAAGGAACTCGGCGTATCTATCTTGGCTCACTCGGCTTCATCGATACAGCCGCCCCTCTCATTCGGCCTAGCCTCGTCGATTCCTCTTCAGTCTCAGAACTTGCAGGGTCGCGGTGGCGAGTTTCGACCCATCTCGCGCACCCCTCCACAAGCGCGCGCGTACCACATATGAAGCCGCGTCGGCTGGTGTCGTAGGCTCGTAGCGCCTTTGCCTCTCCTTCCCCGTCCGGCCTGCGTGGATTAACGTCGTCGCAGGCGACCCAATGGAGCTTCCTTCCAATGTCCCGGCTTGTCGCGGACTGCCGTTCGGTTCTGCAGGGCGCGTCGTGCGTAACGATCTCTTAATCTGTTCCAGGCGTCTAAAACACGCATTCAGATACTCACCCTGCAAGTGTGGTCA